AAATATTACAAATATAAAATAGAAATAAAATACAAAAAATTGAATTAATGTCCCGTATGATGCTGCCGGCTACACATCCCGTAACACGCACAGCCTGTTGGGTACACATCACCACAAGATGTGTCCAACATAACAGAGGTGTTTGTGCGTGTGAAAACTTATATATTAGTGAGCACTTGATACCTTTAACACAAGGTCGTTTTGCTTTCCAGCCCAAACTTCCAGGTATTGGTAGAAGTTAGGCAGTCTCCGTTAGCAAGGGTTGGAGCTTTGGCGTTAAGCATAAGGAGTTAAAATTCAGTTTGATTTTAATATCTTTATTTATCGATACCTGCGGCAGCTATAATAACAACTTTACCGACAAAAACAGCTTAAAAACATAATAACAGCAGCAGCAACAATAACAAATTTATTTGCACAAACAAAACACATTGTTGAGACTATACAACAATACAACAATAATTGAGACAACAATACAAAAATCAAGACTATTGTATATTGGATGATCCAAGTAACATCAGCGTGTTTAGACCCGCCCACCGGAGCAATGTACCACTATAACATTACACATTCAATAGTACATCACTTAGGTAGTACACGTGTATAGCAAGATATGTACAAGGCACGAGAGTTAACTTAATAACGCAACCTGAGTTCTTATTGTTCTTCAGATGGATGGTTCGATTGTAAACCAGATGGCCCAACTCTCCATCTGATGATCAAACTGTCCATCTGAATCTGACTGGCTTACAGATGGCCCGACTGTCCATCAAAAGATCCCACTGTCCATATGATGAACTCAATGTTCATCTGATGGCCCGACTGTCCTTCAGATGGCCAGACTGTTGAGGTACTGCGTGGCCTGTTCCCCCGTCAGAGGACAGCTGGGGTACGCATGGGTACAGTCGTGCCCCCGCTTGCCCGTGTCCGCGGCCACCACGTACCCGTACCTCGGGTCGTGGGGTCCACGTACCCGTACCCCGCTGCGCAGGAATAATTATTTATTTAGAATAAATAAAGTAATTATATTAAGTAAGCCAATTATTTCAACACAGGAAAGACGTCATGATGTGACATGACCTTTGACCTACAATAATGGTGTTCATGCAGATATTTATTACTAAATGCATATTTTGGGTTGGTTAGTGGTTCTAAATAACTGTTTTAAAGATTTATTCAATAGTGTTCAGAAGCAAAAAAAAAAATACTAGGAACGGAATTTGCAAATTTTAATTCATTGCCTGAAGTTATTGGCTAAGGGAAGCACTTCGGCCAGCAAAGATGTCGGGTTAACCGGCCCAGGTAATCTGCACCTGAATATATATCAATTTCCATAATTGAATCTTGTTCCTTAGTATTCAGCCTTAACAATTATTTATTTAACCTCATAAATTATTTTTGTTATTTTAACATCATCTTTTTTAAATTTTGGTAATTTAAAGATTGCATTTTTAAATATACGTATGTAACCCTGACCTGAACATAGCCTTGACACTGCGCTCAGTGTATGTTAAAGGTACTACAAAATCTTGCTCCTTATTCCTTAGCAATTTATTTATTATTTTTAAACGTTCAATCAATATTGATTTTAGGTTGAAATGCTGAACAACCAAAATTAAACGTCCGATCAACGTCGAAATCTGACTAAAACTAGAAAGGAAGGAAAACAACCTTATTTCAACGTTGAAAAATGGTCGATATCGGTACGTTGAATGTTTGGCTATTTACCAGCATGAAACTAATGTTATCACACCAACTTTGAATGAAATACATATACTGTATATAAGTGCACGATTAATGACCAGAGAATATTCGCAGTTCAATTTTCAAGGAGTCGAACAATTCTTTAGCTTATTTCTATTGCTCATGCACGCGAGCGGCCGTGGTCAAGGTTGCTAAGGCGTCGCGCGGTCTCCAGCGATTCCGGGTTCGAATCCTGCCACGGACGAAAAACAGGTTGGGTCTTCAATGTTGATTCGATCAGAGAATTCGATGTTGCAGCAATGTCGTAGTAGTAACATTGATTCAACGTTGCATTGTAACGTCAGTACGACGTTCCATGAGAGACGTTGCTTCAATTTTCATTCTAAACCTATTTTCACCCCGATCTCAATGTCGGAATGCGTAGTTGTTTCAATGTCGATTCAACCATAGAATTCAACGTTGCAGCAACGTCGTAGTAGCAACATTGATTCAACGTTGAATTGTAACATCAGTACGACGTTACTTGAAAGATGTTGCTTCAATTTTCATTCTAAACATCCTTTCACCCCGATATTAATGTCGTAATGTGTAGTTGATTCAAGGTTGATTCAACCACCGAATGCCCGCTGGGTTATTACTAAATATCATATTTTGGGTTGGTTAGTGGTTCTAAATAACTGTTTTAAAGATTTATTCAATAGTGTTCAGAAGCCAAAAAAAATACTAGGAACGGAATTTGCCAATTTTAATTCATTGCCTGAAGTTATTGGCTAAGACAAGAACTTCGGCCAGCAAAGATGTCGGGTTAACCGGCTCAGTTAACCTGCACCTGAATATATTTTAATTTCCATAATTGAATCTTGCTCCTTAGTAGTCAGCCTTAACAATTGTTTATTTAACCTCATAAATCATTTTTGTTACTTTAACGTCATCATCTTTAAATTTTGTTAATTTAATGTTTGTATTTTTAAATATATTTAACCCTGACCTGAACATAGCCTTGACACTGCGTTCAGTGTATGTGAAAGGTACTACAAAATCTTGCTCCTTATTCCTTAGCAATTTATTTTAGATTTGACTTTAAATCTTTATTATTTTTTAACAGCAACCTTTTTAAATTTTGTTAATTTAAATTTTCCCTTTATAAATACATTTAACCCTGACCTGAACATGGCCTTGACACTGCGCTCAGTGTATGTGAGGGGGCGGGGGGTGTCAGTGTAGAGCTGACACACGAGCTTCAGGCCGCACCCCAGCGGGTCCATAGCCGCCACCATCCCCACCACCTGCGTCTGGGGGAGGGAGGGTGTTGCTGGGGGACTGTCGGGGACTGCTGGGGGACTACTGGGGACTGTTATGGGACTGCTGGGGACTGTTAGTGGACTGTTGGGAACTACTGGGGACTGTTAGTGGACTGTTGGGAACTACTGGGGACTGTTAGGGGACTGCTGGGTACTGTTAGGGGACTTTTAGGGACTGCAGGGGAACGGTTAGTGGGCTGCTGGGGACTGCTGGGGACTGCTGGGGGACAGCTGGAAACTGCTGGGGACAGGAGGCCTAGGGACAGAGTGCTGTAAGACAGGGTTGCTGTTCTTGCTGTGCTGCCGGCATGTGCAACCTTACCCAAAAATGTGGCCTATTCTTTATAATCTACCGTGATCCGCAATTTCAGTTTCTCCTGTTATACAAGTTAGAAAACAATCCTGATATTTCTCCGTGTATGGCGTTAAATGTACTAGGCATACTTCTCACTTTAACCTATAATTGGTTAGGCTAACCATTCAATAAGCTCACTCTAACACTGAAAGGCATGCCACTTCGATTAGTTACGAGCGATAGAAATGTTGATTGTTAGTAATATTTTAGCATTTTCTAAGAAATGTGAAACTCGCAACTATTGTCTCTGGAAATCGAATATCAGTGAGCAAACATCAAACAATCATGAAATATTTTTAAGTGTTTGACATTTCCTATTTATTATAGTATTACTGCATGCCATCGACACCAAACGCGTGTTCCGTAGCCGTTATTTACGCCGTCAACATGCCATCTTCATTTCTTCATTACTTATGCATCAAAGTTAGACGGAGAAATATTGGACATTCAACGCCAGCCTCTGACGCCAGGCAGAAAGTCTTTCATATCGCATATTTGCTTATTGAATCTGTAATAAAATTTATTTCGTTACTATTCGATAGCGGACTTTTGGTCTTCACAACTCGCAATGGGGCAGTCTTTTAGAGCCCGACGCCTTCGGGATGTAAACGAGCAATCTCTTATAAATAAACACAATATATCTGGCGTTACTTAAAGTATTTCTGTTGTTAAATTACTAGTTCGCACTCGGAGGGGAGCGTCTCCCATCAAAAAGATGAGCGACGCCATGCGCTTGTCCCTCACCAAAAGCAGACGGGTGAGGGCACGCTAGCAGAGCAGAGACATTTACTCGCCATTAACTCAAACAACAACGAAATAATAAAAATAACATGGTTGCAAACCTCTCATCCTCGACGGTGGGGTTCACCAGGGGAAGGTCCTCGGCCTCCCGTATGGACCGTCGTCTGTGGTAGCCGCTCCCGTAGCCACCCCCGTGGTGGTGATGGTGGAGGTCGTTGTAGTGGTTGCCGCCGTAGCCGTCATGAGTCAAAAATGGCCACCGCCTGCACCGAGCTGTCCCACTAATAACTTTAAGAAGAGACCTGGATGGTTTAGAATTTAGATTAATATGAGCAGAATTAGATTTAGGAAAAGGTTTCGGTGGATTATAAAAATGTCTCGGTATATTTTTTAAAAGATCTTCACTATCAGGGCTGGCGTGTCTTAAGGATTAAGGACTAAACGAATGGGACAAAAGAGTTGTATTATCCCTACCGCTGCTGAGTAGAAGAAATCTGTGGAAGGAATCAACTGCAGGATGCTGTTGTTATCGGCGGTCGGCACGGAGTGGGATGATATTGTAATGAACTAAACCAAATAATTGTAGCATTATTATTTTTTTCACCCCGGGGGTGAAAAAGACTAGCATGAATGATCGATCATAAAACTCTAGGACGATGGCGAGGAACTGTGAACAAACGTGTTTCATGTGCGCTGACATGATAGGAATATTTGACTGATGCGTTCGTCATGTGTGGTTGGTGTGTGTAGTTGTCACACAGATGCACACTTCACAATACAACACAAGTTTTATCTCAAAGCAGCTGATCCGCCGTCAACAGCTGCCGTCATAAGGTGATATCTACTTTACGCATCTGCACAAAACACAACTGTCTTCATCACACAGCTGCTTAGCTCACCTCGCCCCTTTGAGCCGACAGACTTGAAGGCTATTGCTGCTATACCGAGTCCTGCTATGCCAGCTGCAGCTACAGCTGCTGCACCTGCAGCCACTGCTGCATTTGCTGCACCTGAGTACAAAAGAATCCCGTTAGTTTGATCTCACATATATCAACTGCATCAAACTCTGTCAGCACATAAACTTTCAGGGGCCATCACCAACTACACTCAGAGAAAAGAAATTGACCTCAGAGTGAGAAATTGACCAAATTCCGATGCAGTTTTCGTCCTTATGTTCGTAGTCCTCCCATTTCGGTCCGGTAAATGGGCATATCAATGCTACGTCCGCTCTCTGCTGGTGTTGTGGGTAAGAAAGAGTGTCATTATTTGGACATATGACCCACTCATTTTTCTTAGTTTAGCATCTTCTGTCTAGTGGATCTTCCTCCTCCCCTCATTTGACCCTCTCCCTCCCTCTCATTACGTACTGAGACCAACGCTGGTGGCGGCGCTGGTGGAAGCAAAACCCCCCAAGGAGCTGAAAATCCCCTCCACCTCCCCCAGCTGCGCCAACTGCAGCACCACCACAGCAAGACACAGCACCCACGTGCCCATCACGCCCTGGGAAAATATGAAAAATCAACATCTGGATCACTTAAATAATAATAATAATAATAATATTAATAAATAATAGCGGTTTCAGCGTTCATTAGGCCGTAGGCCTGTTGCCGATTCTTAACATCGCAAAACATTCCCAGCATTTTGCGGTCTCGAACCCGCAACTCACTGCTACAATTATGCTGTGCTTAACCGCCCGGCCTCTTCGCCGATTCTGACCAGAAACTGGCGCACAGAGCTGGGATCAAACCCGCGCCTCTCTGCTCCAATCCTTGTACTCTGAACTTTAACCACTGGGCCACCCTGGGCCACTTGAATTATTTTTCATCCAAAAATGAAATAAGTTACCTAATTAATAACAGAAAATGACTCTAAAGATTTCTCCATTAATGGGAAACAATCTTACGATATTTGGACTACGCACGAGGCAATGAAAATTGCGTTGTGAGTCTGACGTGACATTTGACACTTTTCCCAGAGCCTCACGAATTATGACGGTAATTAAAATTTATGTCAAAAGCGTATATAATGTTCACAAATGATATTTATGAGAATAAAGATTCTGTTTAGGCTAAATTCCGGCCATTCATTTTATGCCTGAGCCAATCGTTGGTCAATCTCTCGTGTAAGATTATCATGCACACTTGAGCACAAAATGAGATCGATGTCAAATTTTCTCTGAAATTTTGCATGTGCACGTCAAGGGTAAGTCATGAACACACTTTAAAAACACGCTTCCGCTCGGGACTGAACAAGAAGCCTATAATGACTCTACATACTAAGAGATTTGGCCCATGCAATTTTCTGGGATTATTTATGAAACTCTTGGTAATGAGTTTGGATGAATATTTGATAGTAATTGCATTATACCAGTCACCCAACAAGCATGAATTTCTGTTACCGTGACGCCGCTGAGAAGTGACAAACAGGACCTATAACTCGGTGTTATTGGCCAAAACGCTAGCGTCACAAAAACGTTACGTATCCTTTGAAGTTTGATTGAAATAATGCGTTGGTTATTTATAATATGAGAACTTTTATTTATGTTAAAAGTTTTGCATTCCAAAGAGTCTGCATATTATGCAATCGTCATAGTCTATTAAGTTACTAAATGCATTTGGTTATTAAGATCAGGTGTGGGAACATTGCGTGAACACTCAACCGCTGCTCCCGCAGTAATGATGAGGGGAGATAACGACCAGTCTTATATAAGCAACTCCTGCCGCGCTATTTCAGTAATGAGTGCGTTATGACCATCGTAAGGCGTCGTCAGACGTCGTACAGCCAAGCTGCATCCGTCATGTACTAAACCTATAGCCGTCGAACGGCCAACCTAAGGCCGCTGTACGGCCAAACCTCGGCTGTAGTATGGCCCCATCGGCCACGCGGAAGCACGCCTCGATCGCGTCTCCGGACTCCGGTTTTACGGCCCTGAGAAAGCCGGACGCGGCGGTTCCTTCCCTCACGTGGCGGGAGAGGAAATAGAGGATGAAAGTAGTAAGAGGCTGGAGTGCACGGTGGAATGTGAGAGGATCTACTTAATCTACTTAGAAATTAAAACAATGTAAGTAAGACAGTTGTACGAGGGTATAAAGTAGTAAAAATTTAGGATATATAGGACGATGCAATGGAGGGTCAAATACAACCTTCCAGCCTCCTTCTTCCCCTCACCCCCCAATCTTACAACTTCTCAGCCTTAATTTTTTACCCAAAACCCTCATCTTACTACTCCCCAGCCTCATTCTTCCGCTCACCACCCCAATTCCAATTTTACAATTTTCCAGCCTCCTTTTCCTAATCACCACCCTGATCCTATAACGTTCAAGTCTTCTTCTTTCGTTCACAATCCCAGTCTTGCTACTTTTCAGCCATATTCTTCCACTCACCACCCCAATCTTACTCTTTTTCACCCTTAGTCTCCCTCACACCACCACAATCTTACTTCTTTTCACCCCTAGTTTCCCACAATAATATTACTTTTCAGCCATAGTCTTCAACTTACCACACTAATCTTACTAATTTCTAGCCTTAATCTTCCACTCATAATCCTAATTTTATTCCTTTCCAGACTCAGTCTTCCTCTCACCACTCCAATCTTACAACTTTCTAGCCTTAGTCTTCCACACGTCAGCCTCATCTTCTTACTACCAGCCATCGTATTGCTCTCTTCTTGGCACCGTCCCAACTCCCGCCAGGCAGTAAGTGAGGCAGTAAGCGAGGCAGTAAGCGAGGCAGTAAGGGAGGCAGTAAGTGAGGCAGTAAGTGAGGCAGCAAGTGAGGCAGTAAGTGAGGCAGTAAGCGAGGCAGCAAATAAGGCAGCAAGTGAGGCAATAAGTGAGGCAGTAAGTGAGGCAGCAAATAAGGCAGCAAGTGAGGCAGCAGGTGAGGCAGTAAGTGAGGCAGTAAGTGAGGCAGTAAGTGAGGCAGTAAGTGAGGCAGCAGGTGAGGCAGTAAGTGAGGCAGTAAGGGAGGCAGTAAGTGAGGCAGTAAGTGAGGCAGTAAGTGAGGCAGTAAGTGAGGCAGTAAGTGAGGCAGTAAGTGAGGCAGGGTTTGTCACGGAAAACATCTCGCCTTTTTCACGCGTCGTACTCGTAAGCGCAGCCTCGTGCTCTTGAATATGCAATAATGCGCTAGTCCGTGATATTCGTGCTGGGACCAATATATAATAAATTATATTATAATAATATGTTTTAATAGTGCACTGCTACGAACCTATAAGCTTGAATCATATGGAATCTATTAAGTGTAACTGATAGCTGGGCGTGTAACTGGTATCTGGTGCGTGTAACTGGTATCTGGTGCGTGTAACTGGTAGCTGAGGCGTGTAACTGGTATCTGGGGCGTGCAACTGGTATCTGGTGCGTGTAGCTGGTAGCTGAGGCGTGTAACTGGTAGCTGAGGCGTGTAACTGGTATCTGCGGTGCGTGTAACTGGTAGCAGGTGTGTGTAACTGGTAGCAGGTACGTGTAACTGGTGCTGGTGTAAACTGGTAGCTGGTACGTGTAACAGGTAGTTGGTGCGTGTAACTGGTAGCTGGTGCATGTAACTGGTAGCTGCATGCACAAGCATGCAGCTTTACAGCTGTAACTCATGTACTTGCTAACTCCTACTGAACTGCAGTTATGGTAACTCCTACTGAACTGCAGTTATAGTAACTTAACTCCTACTGAACTGCAGTTGTGCTAACTCCTGCTGAACTGCAGTTATGGAATTTTCATAGGAAGGCGGTTACGAAATTCCATCTCGCACCGATGTTATAGAAACGGTCCATGAAGCGGTGTTATGGAGTCTCGACTGCAGCTCCGCACTATAATCGTGACTTAAGATGACTTTAAACCGGCGTAAAGTCCAGAGTGAAAGTGACGTATTTGCTGGTAACGCACGACGCACACGTACGAAAGCGACGAAAGACGTCGACGTAGGAAGGCAACTTCAGAAGGCGACGTACGACGCCGACGTAGGAAGGCACCGTACGACGCCTGTATGAAGACGACGTACGAAAACGACGTACAGCGTGGACGTAGGAAGGCGACGTAAGACGCCTGTATGAAGACGACGTACGAAAACGACGTACAGCGTGGACGTAGGAAGGCGACGTACGACGCCGGTATAAGAAGGCGACGTACGAAAATGACGTACGACGTAGACGTAGGAAGGCGACGTACGACGTACTGCTGCACTCAAGAAACGCGCGCCGCCTCAGCAAACATGGAACTTAATTTCAATCAAAGAGCCAACTAACGCATGTCGAACTTACCTCTTAAAAGATACGAGCAATTATAAATTATAGAGAAAAATTATAAAGTAAAATATACGAGTAATTATTACTCGTAATTACAATTCGACCAAAGTTCAAACTTAATTAACCCGAAAAAAAGTTAAAAAAAAAAAACTTTACTTGTTATGCATGAGAAAAATCTAAAGAGTTTGTGAATGCTGATAGAGAAGGCAAGCGTAGAGGAATGGATGTAGAATTGGTATGAGAAATGGAGGGAAGGAATGGGTGGAGGAATTGGGGATAATTCGGGGATGAATAGAGAGAGGAATGGGGGAGAATTTGAAGGAGGAATGGAGGAAAGGAATGGAAGAGAATAGTGAAGAGGATTGTGTTGAAGAATGAGACGAAAAATTGGAAATAAAGGAGAGGTGGAATAGAGGGGAGTAAATAGAAGTGAAGTGGAGATCAGTAACTCGGAAGAATGGAGGAGAGTAAATGGGAGGAATTGGAGGAATGGAGAGAAGTAAATAGGAATAATTGAGGGAATTAACTAGGAAAAGAATGGCGGGGTGTGAATGGGAGGAATGGATGGCAGGAAATAAGAGGAATAGATGGAAGTAAATAGGAAAAGTGGAGAGAAATAAACAGGAGAAATGGAGAGGAGTAAATAGGAGGAATGAGGTTGGGAGCGCGAGATGTGGCGCTGCAAAAACTTTCCCTACACCGCGCAAGAAAGTTTGTTCTGCGTGCGATCTTGCGTGCGTGCGTAAGGCGCTTGACGTCGTGCGTACGCTAGACGCTGCGACGGCGTACGCAATGCGGCGTACCGTGGGTGACATGCGCCACGGGTTACCGTGGGGTCGGGATGGGGTTGTGGTGGCTGCTGGGGTTGTGCTTTAGTGGAGGCTGGGGTTGTAATAGGGTTTGGGTTTGGGCTGGGGGTTGGTGTTGGGGCTGTCTTCCGTTGGTTTGAGTGTCCGAGTTTGTTTTCGTTAAGTTAGCTCAAATCTATTCTTTATTATCATGTATGATGCTTCAGTACTATCTGGTTGATGGATTCAACGTCAACGTTTAATAATTATCCAATGCTAAGTGAATGCGGCTCTATATTTATATATTTATTATAACTAATATATAACTTATATATATATATTTATATTTATATAACTCAGGCTCTATATTTCCAGAGCCTCTGACTCGTTTTATTCTTAATCATCTTATTTCAGCTAATATATTAGTGTTCTCACCTTACTTCACTCTGAAGCATTTGCCTACTACAGATTTCTTCTTTTCTTCTTCAAATTTAACTCCTCCTAAAAGTTCGAAAGTTCGCTAGTGCAGTGAATGGCTACGTTAATTTATGTGCGTAAATTTTCTTATATTATCTTCCTTTTACTTTGCTGCATAACATGATTGACGATTTTTAAGTTTCTTTAATTAAAGTCTCAAGTTTCAGACTCATGCTGACCTACGTATGAATTTAATTACCTTTTCTAATGATTAAATTTTATTTTTTGCCTTTTTCACGATTGTATGAAAAAAATAATTTAGCTGATGCACTGCTTCTTCGTGGATAATTCCAACATTGAAAATTTTGGACTTGTGTTTTTTTTTGTAAATTTGGCACTTGGCTAATAAAATCTGAATATTGTGAATTGGGAACTACGTCAGAAGACCACCGCGCTCCATTAACCTTCACGATGATTAACATTAAACATTATTAGTTGCTAATCATCCAATAATGTTTAATGTTATTTTCAATAATTCATTGCAATAAATAATGCAATAATTTACTTCGATTTCTAAATTTTGTGATGTGCTAATAAAATATGAATATTAATTGTTAATTGTGAACTGCATCAGAAGGCCATCGCGCTCCATTAACCTTCACGATGATTTAAATTAAACATTATTAGATGAACGTCAAGCTGCGGCAGGCGTGGACGTGGCACTGACTGGTCAACGACCTGCGCCTGCACCTGTCACAAGCGCTGCCTTACAGCTGTAACTCATGTACAGCTGTAACTCATGTACAGCTGTAACTCATGTACAGCTGTAACTCATGTACAGCTGTATCTGATATTCAGGCAGCTGGCACCTCGGAAAGCATGTCCCAATATAAGTCAAGAGTCCCTACCAAATACTCTATTTTTCAGAAAATTTGTGTAAATTCAGAATAAAAAGTAAAATAACAACGAAATTAATGGAATCATTTGAAATCGAATCGTGAATGCGAAAAGTGAGCTTACCTGCATCCACGCTTGCCTCCCCATGAGATGGGGACAAAGGATGCGACAAAAATAGACTGGGATCAAGAATTAATCCCTCTCACCTGCAGCGGGGATGAGGGACCTGAAGCCCTGAAGCTGCTCCCCACCTCTTCCCCCTCCAGCGCTTCATAGGCTTCCTCCCACTTCTTCTTGTGTGCGGTAACATGTCTTGATGTTGTATACATAGTTAGTGACATAGTTCTGTGGAGGGAGGGAATAGGGTGCGGGAGCAGGGGGTGAATGTGGGTGAGGTGATGTGGAGTGGGGGCATATGGAATAAAGTGAGGGTAGGTGAGATGGAGTGAGGGTGGGTGGCATGGAATTAGGGTGTGTGAGATGTAGTGAAACAACATCTCACACACCCTTGTGAAACTACATTGGTAGTGTAAAACTACATCTTACACTACCCTTGAACTTAAAACCTAGTGACGTCTCTGACGTAAAACAATTCCACAACATCTTCATCAAAAACGTTTCGACGAACAGTTCCCTCGCATGTTCAGAAATAATATACAAAAATATGGTAAAGCTATGGTTAGTTTGCTTGGTGATTTCTTTGTCCTCAAATCCTTGTTGATGATTTTGTCTCAAGTCTAGGTTCCCGTCTGGCGCTTGGGTTAATTCCAGCCATCAGCTGGGCCTGCTGCANAACGTGGTGGGTAGTGACAAGGACCCAGTGTGGTGGGTAGTGACAAGGGCCCAGCGTGGTGGGTAGTGACAAGAACCCAGCCTGGTTGGTAGTGATAAGGACCCAGTGTGGTGGGCAGCAACAAGGGCCCAGCGTGGTGGGTAGTGACAAGGGCCCAGCGTGGTGGGTAGTGACAAGGGCCCAGCGTGGTGGGTAGTGACAAGGACCCAGCGTGGAGAGTAGCAACAAGGACTCCTTCCGCGACGGTTTGTTCTGTGCGTCGAATCTGGCACCCCCTTCGATTCTCGCAACACAAGAAGGCCGTTGAGTAGAAGCCTTGGTGGTGGATGGGAGAAGAAAAAAGTTATGCGAGTTGAATGAAGGTGGGAGAGTGTGAGGGGGGCGTCAGGGGGACAGCTGAGCCAATTACCTACCCGGGTTTATAAGACGTCCAGCGACGATGTGGGCGAAGACGTGACAAAGCAGACGTCGCGGCGAACGTTGGGTGACCGTGTCGCGCTGAAGCACAAATCATCACGCCTAAGCTGGGCGTGATGATTGCAAACCGCTGGGCCCAGCTGGGTGGAGTGATCGCACCAGCTGGGGCCAGCTAAGAAGGGAAACTTTGGTTCACTGCTGCTCAGCTGGACTTGGTAATGTCACGCTGAAAGAATATGATGATGAGTGAATTCAGGTCGTGGGGAAGGGCCATGAGGATTCCTTGTTATTTTATTGTTCTTTTCAGACCACTTTTACAAGCTTTATTGTGCTCTGTTAGTGCATATACTTAATATCTTTGCTCCTTAACTGGAGTTGATTTTGAATTAAAGGTTGAGTTTGAGTTGAATTTTAGAGAAGCAATCAAGATGGTGGTGTCCTTCCAGGTCTTCAAGAAGAGCTCCCTCAACGGCAAGGTGGGATTGGTTCCCATTGTGACGACAATCATCATAACTATGCCTTTAATCATCCTCACTATGTACTTGATCATAATCACTAATTGCATGATCGTCGTTATGCCGACTACCTGCATTATTTGCTTGCAACTATCAAATTATGTCTCTAGTTTCCATTATTATACCACAATTCGTAATAATTTCGCTTAATTTGTCTCGAAATAGGTACCATACCAATTATACCCTTAATCATCTAAATTTGTCCCTTAATTATCATAATTATGAGCATGATCATCCCCATTATTCCATATAACCACGTGCAATAAGCTAATCCTTAATCACCCTAATCACGACGCCCTCCATCCCCATTGTACGATATAATCCTAAATGATGATATTATTCCTAATCACCCTCATCGTGACCCCATCCATACCTATTGTGCCATACAACTCCAAATCACAACATAATCCTTATCACTCTGCCCTCCAGGTGCACATGTACCTCACCAAGCGGCAGATCCGGGACTTTGTGACGCACGCTGAAGACATCGGTGAGTAGTAGGCCAAGACTGTGTAGGCCAGGACTGTGTAGGCCTAGACTGTGTAGGTCTAGGCTACGTAGGCCTAGACGATATGGACCTAGCCTGTGCCCCTTACTCCCCCAGAGGGAACGGCGCTCATTGATCCCAGTTACACAGGTTCACCCCTCACTCTCCCAGAGGGATTGGTGTTCATAATCACAAATTACTCATGTCCCCCTCACTCCCCCCGAGGGAGCTGTGAACGTAAACCACAGTTACTCAGGTCCTCCCCTTTAATCCTCCAGAGGGAGCGGTGCTCATAGACCCAAGTTTCGTGGGCGACCGCAGGGTCTACGCACAGGTTGTGCTCAGGTTCAGGTTCGGGCGTGAGGACGATGAGACCATGGGTCTGAACTTCACCAAGACCCTCTGTGTGGAGACCAAGCAGGTCTACCCTCCCGTAGAGGAGCATCACGCCACCGAAATCCAGGTGTGGAAAAGAGAATTTACAGAAAAATTTTGTGCAAATGGTAGAGGATGAAGGTGGCTGAAAATAGTGGATGTTGACTGGACGAATGAGTTAGTGTGTGTATTCTGCCAGCGTAGTGCCCACCCCAGGTAAAATTTGAAGCAGTTTTTGAGCCGAGCCGGTGCCGCACAGGGCAGGCTAGAAGCAGTGTAGGAGCAAATATGGAACATGCTTGTCTCTTATCGATGCCTATACTGTATATGTAACTGGCAGGCCAGCCCAGCGTTGCGTGGGCTCAATAATTTATGCTATTTTGGGATCCTGTTATCCAACATCCCGCAATCCCCGATCTCGTTGGAAATAATAGAGCTTTTGTATTCAATGTAAACAAAGACCTCTTCAAACCAGCATTTTACATAAAAATAGGAGCCACACTTCACTTCCGTTTCAAAATGCAGCAAAAGCTTTTTTGCATTTTTTAATTTAAATTTATATATGCCAATTTCGAATTAATTTGCAGTTTTGATCCAAACATTTACTCTTTTACTGTGATTACTTTATATTCTTCCACTAAGAATAAAATTTCAGTTCCAGGTAATATCCAGAACCGCGGATACGCGTCCAAACAAACCCTAATTATTTGCGTCTTAAAACACAAATCCAGTAACACAAAAACTTTGTCCTTATAAATGAGGCAAATGAAATCCTTGCTGTAAATCAGCCATTTCTGGCGTTGGAATTTTAAATTCTGTTGCAAACCTGCTGGTGTCCGACATTCACGATCCTGCTCCAAAACTACTCTAAACCTGATCTAAACCAGCTTTTAATCTGCTTCAAACCAACTCAAAACCTGCTCTAAATCTTATCTAAACCTGCTCTTAACCAGCTTTGGACATGGCCTATGCCTGGTCCATACCTGGTCTAAACCTGGTTTAAATCTGTTCTAAACCCGCTGTAGAAATAATCAGAACTTGCTCTCTAAACCGGATCTCCATCTGTTCTAAATTTATTCTAAATCTGATATAAACCTGCTCTAAACTTGCTCTAAACCTGCTCTAGATCTGCTCTAAACCTGCTTTAAACTAACTCTAAACCTGCTCTAAATCTGCTCTAAAATTTATTTGAGCCTACTCTAAACCTACTCTAATGCTTCCAGCGGCCCCGACTCCTACTACAAATTTTTAACTGGGGCGTACGTGTTCCCTAGTGGATTTCAGCAAATCATTTTTACTTCGTGTCATTATCCAATATTATTCAACTCGCTGCATAAACCCATCACCTCCCCCCCATCATCATCGTAAACATCATCACGTTCATCACCATCTCTTGTTTGTGCAGAAGCAGCGTGAGTCTGCACATCGAGCGCGTGCAGAGCCTCCCCAGCGATGAGCTCACCAAGCCTCCCCCACACGGGTCCATCACCAGGTAAGGGATGTTCGGGGGACCAGACGAGGGAGGGGCGTGTGAATGACGTCGTGTGTACGTAAATTGTACGTAAGATTCTTTATTACTGAACGGCGTGTGTGTTGCACCTAAGATTATTACTGAACGGCGTGTGTGTTGCACATAAGATTATAATCACTTACCGCACACACAACGTGTATTCTAATAAAGTGAATGGCGTGTGTGTTGCACATAAGATTATTAGTGAATGGCGTGTGTGTTGCACCTAAGATTTTTAGAGAATGGCGTGTGTGTTGAATGCGTGATCTTTAGTGAATGCCTTTTATGATGTATGTACTACTGAATGACGTGCATGTTGAATGACACATTCAGCCCTCAAAAAGCATTAAAATCAGCGATATAAATGCTCAATACTGAACACAGATTACAAAATTTCTCCACATTTACACGACCAGCGATTTAAGTGTGTAATCCTTTTGCCTAAGCAGGTTTCAACCGATGATTCCACTAAGAATTGTCTAGTTTTAAGTGATTCTTCTATCTGAGATTTTACATCTTTCTGTCTGCCATTTGACATTCTTCTGTCTGCCGTTTGACATTCTTCTGTCTGCCATTTGACATTCTTCTGCTTGCCATTTGACATTCTTCTGTCTGTCATTTGACGTTCTTCTGTCTGCCATTGGACATTCTTCTGTCTGACATTTGACATTCTCCTGTCTTACATATGACATTATTTCATTTAAGAAATTTATGTCTGTCATTTGACATTCTTCTCTCTGCCATTTGACATTCTTCTGTCTTACATTTGACATTCTCCTGTCTTACATTTGACATTATTTCATTTAAGAAATTTATGTCCGATATTTGAGATTCTTCTGTCTGTCAATTGACAGGAACTTCCTGACGTGCTCTGGTACAGTGACGGTAGAAGTATCGTTAGACGCGCCCGTCTACCGTCAGGACCAGGACGTAACTATCAGCGTTAACGTCATCAATAAGACGTCGAAAGACGTCAAGAAACTCAAGGTCAAAGTCATGCAGGTAAGTCAAAGGGATCAAGTCAGGCTGGTTGAATTTTATTTTGTGGTTTTACTTACATCGTTATATATTAACCTATTATCCGCAGCATAAAATTCATTCAAAAATCTAAAAATACCAATTTTTTGAACTGAAGGCGACATGCTTTCATTGAGGATGTCGTGAATTTACCTTTTTACGTTTTTGAATTCTTGGTGAACTTGCGATTTAAACAGACTAATGATATCAGCATTAATATAGTCTTATTTTTAGTGTTTAACATTTCTCCACATAAATCAAAATATTCACTAAGAAAAAAATATAACTTAGTATTCACTGCAGTGAGTGACTGAGAGCGCATTTTCACGTCGACGAAAACATGAAGTCACGGACGGACAGACGGACATGGCGAGCGCAATAGTGCATTTTTTTCATAAATGAGAAAATGCGCTAAAAAGCGAGTCCTATATACTTTCGAGTACCATGTTTTTTTTCTTGTGTGGGCTACAGCCAATTTAAAGACGTGTCAGTGCTACTTGCAGTAAGTATGTCAGTATTTGGACAAAGAGACATTTTTCTGAGTATAACGTTGCCCTCAGCTGAGCGAAGTGCCGATGTTCAGCCACACGCAGCGGCGGGAGAAGACGCTCAGCAAGGCGGAGGAGGCGCTGCTGCTGCCCCCTGGTGCCTGCACCCAGAGGGCCATCACCCTGGTGGCCCTAGTGCCCCCAAAACGGTGGGTCCAACCCTCCATTTCTGTCCCCCAAACGGTGGGTCCAACCCCACTGGTGGTTGAAGTGCTCCGGATGATTCGCTGCATCAAGCAAAATCCAACCTTAATTGAATCATTGGTTGTTAGGGCCCAAATTTAAGAGATTTGTCCACATAAAAAATAACTGACTGTAGAAAATTATTTTGTAAATTCAGCTTTATGCATAAATTACTCAGCTTTGCCTCAATTCCTGTGAGGAAAACTCGAGTGACCGACGCAGAGCAACGAAACTAAAAAAACCAAATGGTAGACAAAAATGGCATCAGGATAAGGCGAGAATCAATAACCAACTTTTTAGTACTAATGACCAAAGTAATTTATTATAACGGAATGAATGTTTTCTTAATTTTCTTAATTAACATTTATGTTTCTTTCACACCACCCAGGGCACAGGGCATGGTCTTCCTGCAGGGGTCACTGACGCAGACGTCGTCAGGTGCGTCGCTGGCGCAGACGACGTTGCTGCCGAGCGACGTGTGCCGCAGTGACGTCTTTGGCATCCTCGTCTCATACATCGTCCGCGTCAAGGCCTAGTTTCTTACCTGAGTGTTTCTTAAGTCTATTTGTAACTTCAAAATTTTCGGTGCTGGGCTGATTAAAATTATTTTAACCACAGTTCAAACAACATAATCAAGAACATTTAATCAACTTGAAATTAATAAATAATGAATTATTCTACTAAATAATATTCATTACTTAAATGGATACAAAAGATGATACAACTATTAATTCATATATCAATAATTATATTAATTATTGTTTATTGTAAACAAGTAAACATATGATATTATATGTTGATACATGCAGAATATTATCAAGCAAACATATGATAATATTCTAATATTCAATAAATATATAATTAAAACTACAAGACAAATGCACACAACAGGTCAACGTCAGAGATCAGCCTCCCGTACCACGCGGTCTTGGCACGGGACCGTGGGGATGGAGGGGAGGGGGGGCCCGTACCAAGCAGGTCTCGGGTCCAAGATATGGCGGTCAGTGCCCGTGCCAGGCAGAGACGTCGTCCGACGGCCCGGCGTCTCCGGTCTTCCATGGGCGCTAGGAAAAACAGAACAAAACTGCCGGTCTTGCCGCGTAGCTTCTTGGAGCGTCTGGCTTGTGTGGCGCTAACGGGACACTTCTGGGGAATAGATGTTTAATTAGGATGCGGTGGGGTTGCTGACCGGGTTTGAGGTAGTATTATACGGCAAGTTTCACATAATAATAAAATTATAATAATAATAAATAATATGCATTACTATTATTGCAATGATGTAATTATATTGATAATATAATAAAAAATTAATGCCTTAATATTAAGAAAAAATTCCATGCAAGGAGAAAAGGAAAGGAAATAAATGTGCTAATAATGATACTAATAATTATACTGATAATAACTAACAACTATAATGATAATAATAATCATAAATTACTAATGATAATTAAATGATTCTTTTGGCGAGAAACGAAATTTGGTGAATATTATAGCCTGCTGCTCGCGCTAATGCATTACAGTGATTACACTATCAACAAAATGTAAACGGTTCTCCCGCGTGTCTTTTCTAATTTAGTTTGTTTCATGCATTGCCATTCAAGAAGAAGGGAAAAACTGACTTTTCATTTTTAAAATTCCCCTTGATTTATAAGAAGATAACCGCTGGTAACCCATACATGCACGCGAATTGTGTTGACGCGATCTGTTGGAGATTTATTGTTTACCGCCACACAAAATCTTGAACAGTTCCTCGAAATTAACAGCTGGCGACCAATGAGGGATTTTACAGACGATTGCTTGCTTATTTATTTTCTCTCTTCGGTATTTATACTGTTTTTACATGTTTGGTTAACAAAGCGGTACGTTTAATACATGTAAAAGTTTACGACGTAAGAGTAATCATGCATGTTCTTGTTAATTGTTAAGTGCAGGCCGGTGAGGAATGTTGGAGGTGAGGTATGTTGGAAAAGCTATTCTCCACATACTTTAATTCTGGACTAATCCTTTTCAGTCAAGAAACGAAATTTGTAGATTGTTATGAATGTAGCACGAATGGTCAGTTAACAGAGATACGTGGCACAGAATTCATGCAAGATAGGATCTCAATTGTGATGTGTATCTAATCTTCTTTACATTTGTCAAGAGTGATTGCCAACAGACTTATCTCAATTAGTTCTGAAATCCTATATTGAAATCCTGAATCCTCCGTAATCATAGACATGCCTCAAAATAATCGATCTGGGTCAACTAGTGTCAATCAGTGTCAACTAGTGGCAGTCTGTGGCAGTTTGTTTCACTCTTCGTCAACCTGCTTCTTGAAGAAACCTTTTGAACTGGATTGTTTACCTGTGTCTATTGTGAATTTTTTAGTTATAGATCTACTATTTCAAGCAACGCAATTAAGTACGAACGATCACTTTAGTTCTTTACGTGCTTGGTGCCTCGGCTTATGCTGCAGCTATCAGGCTCGACATAAATTGGTCCAAAAATGTTCCATGAATTATAGCAGTGGTTCATAAACTTTTTCAGGCTGGCGCTCCCTGTGGCTCCCAAGTGAATTTCTAGCGCCCCCCACAGAGACATATAAAAACATACGCCTCTTTCTTGAAATTTAGTATGCTACAATTTTAAAAGATAGAGGTTAAACACAAAGGTGTATTTCACAAATAGAACCCCATTTAGTGAACCAATATGTTTTTCAGCACTGTAAACCTAGGACGTCTCGGACAAATTTACGGCCGGACTTGTAGCCGGTCTCTCGACCAATCTCCAAATTCAATTATCAAGTAATATCTCCCAAATTAATGAACGCAGCTCAATGAAACTTGGACCATATGTTCATCAGAACCTAACGGTGATGTTTAGCACGTGAAAATTCTTTTAATTTCACCTTCATTCGTGAATTATATGGCGATACAGGCTGAAATTCGCAGTGATCAATGAATTTCTTCCTAACTACTTAACAGATTTGAACGAAATTTTGAATATACATCCCTAACTACCAAACGGTGATTTTTTTTAGCTTCTAAAAATCGTTTGATTCTACCTTCGCTTGCGAGTTTTTTTTTATTATTTTACAGTCATTCTTGATTTCACACTTCCTTATAATCGATCCGCATCATCGGGTAATTTGTCGCTTAAGTTCGCGGCGATCAAAAAATTTCTTCTAAACTACTGAACAGATTTCAACGAAACTTTGAATATAAATACCTAACCTCCCAACGGTGATGTTTAGCTCGCGACAATTTTTCTATTTCGCTGTCGTTCGCGAGTTATACAGACAGGAGAAACAACCGGTTTTTCTACCGGCCGGTTTAACTAAGAGCCGTCTACGTATAGCCGTATACGTATAGCCGTATAACCCGCAAACGGAGGCAAAATCGAAAAAAATTGTAACGAGCTAAACATCACCGTTGCTGAAGTTAGGTATTTAAATACTAAGTTTCGTTCAAATATGTTCAGTGGTTTGGAAGAAATTTCTTGATTACTGCGAATTTAAGCCGGTTTTGCTGTTTAAATCACGAATGAAGGTGAAATAAAAAAAACTCGCGAACGAAGGATCAATCGAAAAAATTTTCACGAGCTAATCATTACCGTTCGGTAGTTAGGACTATAAATTCAAAATTTCGTTTGAATCTGTTCAGTAGTTTGGAAGAAATTCCTTGATCACTGTGAATTTCAGCTCATATTGCCATATAACTATGGTAGAAACAAATGAAGGCAAAATTCAAAACTTTTCACGAACTAAACATTACCGTGAGGTCCTAATGAATACGTGTACCAAGTTTCATCGAGTTAAGTTCATTAGTTTGAGAGATATTTCTTGATCATTGAATTTGGAAATTGGCTGTGAGGCCGGCCGCGAGTCCGGCCGTTAATTTGTCCGAGACGTAAACCCAGGAGATGTTAAAAAACAGATCTGGGTGAAAAACCATCGCTGGGAGTCATGTGCTGCACGTGTTGTGTACAAATCGTCAAACAAACGTTGGAATTTCTGACTTTGACTTCGGACTGTCGCCCCCCTACCGCCCTTTTCTTCCTCACCGCCCCCCGAAATCTTTCCACCGCCCCTAGGGGGGCGATATCGCCTACTTTGGGAACCACTGAATTATAGCAAGGACTTAGTTTGTGGTAATCCAATCCAAATTGCCATGGGTATATAATATATATAGTTTCATCGAAGACCAGAGAATTCGTTTTATTGATAATTTTCTTATTAGTTTTTTCAACATATCAAACAATATTTTTCGTTTGCACTTGTAAATTGAAAATCAGGGCACCGATGGACATTTTTATTTCGTTAACGACGTTTCGAATGTATCAATCATTCATTATCAAGTTAAAAGGCGCACTGGGTGATGAAATTTGGGTCGACATAAGTACAAAATCATGTAAATAGGATACTGCTCAAAAAACTGAATTGGTTAGAAATAATGCCTAGTCACGAAAATATGAAGATGAACAAAAATCAAAACACCAAAAATTACTCCGAAAACAGTCTCAAGGTTCTGACAAATCCAGCAGTTTGAAGGTTGATGGCTGGGGTCCTATCCCTGTCTCTTATACACATCTAGATGTGTATAAGAGACAGGCCATATCTTGCTCACCGCCATATCTTGCTCACCACCAATATCTTGCTCACCGCCATATCTTGCTCACCGCCAATATCTTGCTCACAGTACAATGTGAAGTACATACAAATGAAAAGTACATACAAAGTGGCACTGCGCAAGAAAGCGGCATACCTTAATTCAGCGATCTAAATACAAATGCTCACCTCATTGAAGTATACAAGTATACTCATGGTCTATACAAGGTCCCCGAAGGATTACTAGGGGCCACGGCTATAAACTAAAACACCAGGGGCCACGGCTATAAACTAAAAAAACTGCGCTGCAACTTCTTCACGCGACAAAATTTCTTCTCGCTTCGAATCACCGACATGTGGAAACCATATCTTGCTCACCACCATATCTTGCTCACCACCATATCTTGCTCACCACCATATCTTGCTCACCCCCATATCTTGCTCACCACCATATCTTGTTCACCGCCATATCTTGCTCACCGTCATATCTTGCTCACCGCCAATATCTTGCTCATCTATTAGCAGCAGAATGAGATAGTATGGGTTTCTGCAGGTTGAAAATAATCCATTACCGGCAGGTTGTGCAGCCAGATCTTGAATAAGATTAAGAAGGAAAATTAAATTTTCCAGCATATCAGAATAAATAAATTGTTAGAATTTAGAAATTTGTTTTGGCAATGAGTTGAAATATCATAAGCATTTTGAAGCTTAAGTTAATAAAGACAATAGACGACATGTATTGATCAGACGCTCTAATAGGTGCCTATATATAAATGCAGAAGCGTTGAAACTGTTTGTCGCGGTCGTGCGTCCTAACCTAGAGTTTGGAAACGTCGTGTCGTCACCAAAACTAGAAAGGGATAAAAATTTAGTCGTGAGTGTTCAAAGGCGTCCAACAAGGATAATTCCGGGATTAAAAGGCAAGCCTTATGAAGAAAGATTATAAAGCTTCCAAGCCTCCGTTATCTACGTCTGCGTGGTGACCTCATTGAAGTATACTTGTATATACCCACGGTTTATACAAAATCCCAGAAGTATTACTAGAATTTGAAACAAGAACCAACACCAGGGGCCACGGCTATCAACTAAAAACTGCGTTGTAACACATCCATGCGACAACATTTCTTCTCGCTTCGAGTCACCGACAATTAAGTGGAACAGCCTCCCTGATAGCATCGTTGACGCTCCGAGTATGAACGCCTTCAAGAACAGACTAGACGAAGCTATGTAGGAGCATATGTTCAGTCTTAAAATGACTAGAACCCTACGGACCAGGCAATAAGTCTCAAACAATCGTCAGTTATGAAGAGATCGGGTTCCAAAGGCCGGATCCCTTGTGAATCAAGTCACGAAAAATTCAAGAATCGGCAACAGGCCATGGGCCTATTTCTTCAATGCCGACACTTCTATTCTATTCTAATTCAGTTATAAATCATTGGTGAGGAGCCGCAATCCGGGTGCTCGATTTGAGTGAACACTGTCACAAGATATTTTATATAGGAATAGCGAAGTAACTTAATTATTTTGTAGTCCTAAATTTCTTCTTTCTTCGAACAAAACAAATCGCACTTTGCTAATTATTAGACTTATTGGTCAATGGGCAGCACACTGCAGAGCACTCTGTGGCCTGTGCAGGTTAAAGTGATAACATAACATAACATAGTGATGTCGGCGCTGAAGTGTAGGCCTGATGTGGCCTGTCGGCTGTCGCCGATTCTTTTCCTTTTCGTGCCTTGTTCATACATCTAAACTCGTGTCATTTGACCGGATCTTTTCATGACTGGCGATAGTTTGAAGTAGCTGCTAGACTTCCACCGAGTTCGATAAGGAGCTAGGCATTTCAAATCTGAACATATATTTTTCCATAGCTTTATCTAGTCTGTTCTTGAACGCGTTCATACTTGGAGCGCCAACATGTCATCGGGGAGGTATGTAGAAATTTTTGTCTGATTTGAATCACGTCATTTAATCAGAATATAGAATTATTAAGGTCATTTGAAAAAATCCTAAAATAGTTTATCTCTAAAGGCTTCTATTTTACTGCAGTCAATAAGGATCAATCGTCATTGTGTTCAATTATGTACATAAAAACGCATCACAGCTCCAAAGTCATCCCTATAAATTTATTCTTTCTTCTCCTTCTTATAAAAAACTTCATTTCGGGTAAACTCAATAATATGATATGCTTAGAAGTTTAGTCTATTGGAGTGGACTCCAGTGGAGCAAATAAAGTTTATCAAAATCGTATATTTAGTCGTCATATTAGGAATATGCATTCATATTTTTCGAGGTATTAATATTTTATTCGCAAATAGTCGGATATGATAAATTGTTTGGAACTTGATTGACCATTATCACTAATGGAGTCGGTAGAAACGGTTGATGAGTAATCTAAATTCCACATATCATGTACGATATTGGCCAAATTTTTCACATTTATTTCGTCTGATTCATTTCATTTTCCTTTTCATAGTTATACTTTTGTATTCTCTCTCACGTAGAAATCAGCTACCGCTGGAGCGCTGGTGTGACGTCACACGACTCAGCGTGATCCTTACCTAGCAACAAGTTTGAAAATTACTCTACTTTTGCAGCTCTTGTTCATTGAATTCGCTTATTAATAATCGTGTCTCATCAGCAAGCTGGTCCGACATTATTTATGACTCAGGAGCCAGTTTTTGAACTCTATTAAGAACAGAGCTCAGTTCGTTTTTAGAAGAGCTTATTTGCTCATAATGTTCACGTAATTCAATCAATAAATAATTTCTCGTTCAAAGAATAATCAGAGCGTAATGAAAAGATAGACAGTATAAAATTAATTTATTTACCTTCCATTCAACGAATGTGTGACAAAAATACCAATGCTTGAGATTTAAACCAAATGCTTTATGCTTAAGATGAATGACCCCACTAATGTCATAAAAAATGTCATAAGAACCCAAGAGTTCGGACGTCGTGAGCTTCAGTCGTCAACGAACTGAAACAACTGCAAAGCAGGAGGAGGGAAACGGCCCGCACCGCGCACGCTAGGGCACTAACAAATAACTCTGAACACATTTATACTCTTATTCTCTTATATTTGGCGCAGAATAAAAAGGTTAGTTTCGAAGGTCAATGCACTGGTGAAGGGGGAGATCGTGCACCAATCTCTCTTCCGTAGATGGAAATTCCGTCTTTGGAAATCGAGACTCAGGCAAGGCCGGGTCCTGCCACTGGTGCGTCGACGATAACCTCAATGGTGGTTAGTTGACGAGGGCATTGATGAAGGTCAGGGTCACTTGATGATGGTGAGGTCAGTTGATGAGGGCCTCGAGCTGCACGAGGCGGGCGTTGATGTGGGCGTGTAGACGCAGAGGTATTAGCCCAGCGAAGGTCACCACGGCTCGCGCCTGGCGTCGGAGGTGCTGAGGGGAGTGAAGGCATTAACATGCATGAAACGTCAACAAAAAAATATGCATAGCAAAAACGGGAGACAAAAAATGAAGCGGGAGTCAATGTGTTCGCAGTCGCTCCCTATCAACATTTGTCACCGGGAGTTCGCCGCAACTCTTCGGTATTGCCAGTTGCCTGAAGCTCCACGGCCAAACACCGGTAACCATCTTGCTAGAAGAAAGCTCTGAATAAATTTACTATCCAGTTCAATCGCTGGTATATTATTGCACTTGGTTTCTATTCAACAAAACTTCGGTTCACGCGGGTGAAATGTTGATTTTATTACAGAAAATGACAGTTAAAAAGCGTCATGTTCAAGATTTGCAAGCCCAGACATTCATGATCAATAAGCAGCTTAATAAAGCTATTAAAGCCCAGCCACAAGATCTAGAGCAGAAATACAAGATCTCCAATGAGTCAACAAAGCGAGATGAGTTCACGTAGAACCTCACTGTAGTGCAGCGGGGCACGACCTGACTCACTACCACTCAGACCTCACCTCGCACTGCGTCGCTGTTACTGAAGCAAGGTTGCACTATAATGCTACAGAGGCGGTTACGCCGGACGTGTCTGTACAATTTCACTTTCGGTACATACTTAAAATATGCGCAAGAAATTAATTAACGAACTCTGGTAATAAAACTACTGATAATAGTGAATGATCACTATCGTTCACAATATAGTGACGTAGTTTACCTGCGTGGAGGAAGCGCCGGAGGTGGTGGTTGAGTATAGGTGGTGGGTGGCGGTGATGGCGGCCAACAGCAGCGGCGGGATGACAGTCTTTACGTCGGCGGAGACAGCGGCCAGACCTGCCACTCTCGCCTCCACCTCATCCGGGTCCAGGGCGATCAGCTGCAGCCGCCGCACTACCTGCAATGGTACCGTCTGTCAGTGTCACCAGCTGCCAGTTTCGTCACCGAGACGAGGCACTTGATTCTCAATGTAAAGCGACTAACGAAAAAACTCAGAAATGAGTGAGACTTGTCCAAAAAGCGATCCACTTTTTACCCTCGCGTACGTTACCCAGTTGTCAGGGACAAGGGCGTATAAGTACTACTTGTATTAAGGGTGACGCAATTTTTTGAGTGCACAACTAGTATCTTGATCCTAAACATGAGAAGATGAGGTCGTCACTGAGATAGAAGAACTCGTACACGTAGTAAACAACTCAGGAGTAACCGCATTAATCTCAATATTTTGTTTACCTGCTGCATGAGCTATCAAGTTTGAGTCGTATTATTAAAATCATCTAAGTAAACGTAACGGCGTTTAAATATTTTTGATAGTACGACGCGTCAAGATGGGTAACTCACCTCGAGGGCGTCATGGTAGCGCTGCGCATGGTAGAGGTCGAAGACCGTGGAGAGGTCCAGCAGCAGGTGCAGCGTTGCAGCCGACTGTACCGAGGCTGTGTGTCCCTGGGATCGGTACCTGCGTACAGTTACGCTACTTATTACAGTCCATACACCTGACACCTGCATACTCGGTACTTAGTACAGTCCATACACCTGCATACAGTCCCGGTACTCGGTACAGGCAATGCACTTCGTTATCGATTGTTATCCGATATTTGTCCAATCTCAATGATAAGATTTGCCCTCTCAATTAATGTATTTCACTTCAAAACTTTATTTTACATCATCCACGTCTTTTCTATCTTGCTGATTATTATATTCTGCTCCATTGAAAAAATGCTAGAAGCACCACCTGAGCCCGATGGTGCAAGCCAGCTCCAGGATGCGCTCACGGTCGCTACCAGAACCAGCTGTCGGCGGGATGGTGGGGGTCGTCGTGGTTGTGGGTTGGTTCAGATGTACCACCTGGGACAGCAGTTTGCACAGCAGGCTTATCACCTTCTCGTGTTTCTGAAAAAAAAATTACTTTTAGTCCACTGGGTTTCACGCTTCAGCTCAATTGCAAGAAATGTAGGTAGATTATTTGATTGCCTAATAGCTAGGTAATCATCCCAAAAATTTAAAAGCAATGGAAATGCCACAAAATTCATCATTTTTCAACAGAACCGTTACGTCAACTAGCCTCGTTGTCACAATTATGATGAATTCTATTAGAATTTTCTTAACTATTGAATTTCCGGTTAGATGTGTATGAACCAAATTGCCTTCTCTATTAGTCATTAAGTTTTATAATATTTAATGTATGCCGGTACAGATGTCTGCTACGTTCACCAGCATCACATCTGAAGGAGGATTTTTGCAGGGATATCTAATGCCTCGTCAGCGCTCAAATAAGATAAAGTCGAAATATGTCTCCCGAAAAGTCTTTAGAAAAATTCAATTCAATTGCACAACAACCATTTTACAAACAATGATGTAGTGAAGAACAGATGATTAGCGGCAATATGGTAAAACAAAATTAGTTCTTCTGAAGGAAGTTCTTCATGGACGTGTTGCACACTACATAATAACACCTTAACTGTATAATGACTGGAAACTTTTTGCGCTCGATATTTTATGATGCTTCTAAACGTTCTAAGTATAAATTTGTTCTTTGTGTTACACTTGCACGGCACATATATCAAACGAAACAATTGGCGAACGATTGGTTCCTACAATAACTTGTCAAATTGCATTCAGTATAGAAGACCACGAAAACATGGAGTGATAGTAAAGACAATGAGAGCGGCTGTTGAATGCTGATATCGAAGCTTATTTGGAGTTGAAAATAGCACGAAGTTTTGAACAAGTAAATGGACTTGCACGATTCTCTTCGACACGTCCATTAATTGCCATGTCGATTTCAATTCATATCATTATTGAATTCAACTGTCATTTGGATTGAATAGCCAGTTATGTATAGAACACTTGCTCAGGCGAGAACTCCTCAGTTCTCAGTTTCCTCTCAATTCTTCCCTTATTATAACCATTCGAACATCCCACGGGACAAAAAATAGTGAAAAGCTGCAATTTACCTCTTCCCTTCTTCCCGCATTCTACTGGGTCCTGTCTCGTTTAACGGACAACGATAAACTAAATCTAAATATTCTAAAAACTCTAATGATAAACAGCAGCTCATCAATGGACAGTTGATGTGCACCCAAACAAAATAATCTTAACAAATTAGTAAAAAATCTAAATATTCTAAAAACTCTAATGATAAACAGCAGCTCATCAATGGACAGTTGATGTACACACAAACAAAATAATCTTAACAAATTAGTAAATTTGAAGAGCGACATCAGCGCCCAACAGAGAACTCAAGGCCTGGACAAACAGGCTAGCACCCAGCAGACCACAAGGTCTGGACGAACACGCTAGCACCCAACAGACCACAAGGTCTGGACAAACACGATAGCACCCAACAGACCACAAGGTCTGGACAAACACGCTAGCACCCAGCAGACCACAAGGTCTGGACAAACACGCTAGCACCCAACATAGACCACAAGGTCTGGACAAACACGCTAGCGCCCAATAGAGAACACAAGGCCTGGACAAACAGACTGGCGCTCAACAGACCACAAGGTCTGGACAAACACGCTAGCGCCCAACACAGACCACAAAGTCAGGACAAACAGGCTGGCGCCCAACAGGGAACACAAGGTCTGGACGAACACGCTAGCACCCAACAGACCACAAGGTCTGGACAAACACGCTAGCACCCAACATAGACCACAAGGTCTGGACAAACAGGCTAGCACCCAACATAGACCACAAGGTGTGGACAAACAGGCTGGCGCCCAACAGAGACCACAAAGTCTGGACAAACAGGCTAGCACCCAACATAGACCACTAGGTCTGGACAAACAGGCTAGCACCCAACATAGACCACAAGGTCTGGACAAAAGGCTAACGCTCAACAGAGACCACAAAGCAGGGCACGTCGCCCCCAGTGCCCCACCTTGGCCAGGTCGTAGAGTCGCACGGCGTCCTCGTGCAGGCCGCGCTGCTCGCAGTCCTGAGCCACCGCCTCCGTCAGCTCATCAACGTCAACCTAAATATAATATATGTCCACTTCATTCATATAATATAGATTTTTATGCATTATATTATATAAATTAGAAGTGCATGGCGCTATGACAATAAGAGGCATATGCTGCAGCAGCCATGACAACAAGAAGCATACGCTGCAGCTGCCATGACAACAAGAAGTGTATGCTGCAGCTGCCACAACAACAAGAAGCGTACGCTGCAGCTGCCATGACAACAAGAAGCATACGCTGCAGCTGCCATGACAAGAAGAAGCATACGCTGCAGCTGCCACGACAACAAGAAGTGTACGCTGCAGCTGCCACAACAACAAGAAGCGTACGCTGCAGCTGCCATGACAACAAGAAGCATACGCTGCAGCTGCCATGACAAGAAGAAGCATACGCTGCAGCTGCCATGACAACAAGAAGTGTATGCTGCAGCTGCCACAACAACAAGAAGCGTACGCTGCAGCTGCCATGACAAGAAGAAGCATACGCTGCAGCTGCCATGACAACAAGAAGCGTACGCTGCAGCTGCCATGACAACAAGAAGCATACTCTGCAGCTGCCATGACAACAAGAAGCATGCGCTGCAGCTGCCACGACAACAAGAAGTGTACGCTGCAGCTGCCATGACAAGAAGAAGCATACAGGTCAGTAGCCATATCAGTCATGACTATAGCCATGCCTTGAAGTGGTCCAGCAGGCCCGGGCTGCGGGTGCAGGTTGTGCCGTCGTCGCGCTGCTCCCCCAGCAGGAGGTCGAAGAGGCGTGACGACAGCGCCAGCTCCCGCACGCACTGCAGCATCACGTCCTCTCCACGGGGGGTCTTGAGGCCTCTGCATGAATGAGTGGTGATGAATTGTAAGTAGGGTGGGTAGAGTACTTAACTAGGTAGTGGCAGATAGAGTACTTAACGAGGTGGTGGCAGGTAGAGTACATAATGTAGTAGTAGCAGTTAAAGTACTTAACGAGGTAGTGGCAGGTAGAGTACTTAACGAAGTGGTGACAGGTAAAGTACTTAACGAGGTAGTGGTAGGTAGAGAACTTAATGAGGTGGTGACAGGTAAAGTACTTAACGAGGTAGAAGTAGGTAGAGAACTTAATGAGGTGGTGACAGGTAAAGTATTTAACGAGGTAGTGGTAGGTAGAGAACTTAATGAGGTGATGACAGGTAAAGTACTTAACGCGGTAGTGGCAGGTAGAAAACTTAACGAGGAAGTGGCAGGTAGAGTACCTAAAGAGGTAGAGGCAGGTAGAGTACCTGAGAAGGTAGTGGCAGGTAGAGTACCTGAAGAGGTAGAGGCAGGTAGAGTACCTGAGAAGGTAGAGGCAGGTAGAGTACCTGAAGAGGTAGAGGCAGGTAGAGTACCNTACTCGCCGCTGGTAGTGTTGCAGGGGAGGTCGATCTGGGATTGTGCCCTGGAAAACGTCCAGTTGTCTCTTGAAGGTCTCCAGGGTGAACTCCCCCTCTCTTAGATCCATTGGTAGAACGTTGAACAGCCTTGGCCCTGCCATGGAAAGTGATCCTTCCGGCAGGGATTGAAATCTGACTGCGGATCTGTTACGCAGGGGAGGGATCTTGCACAGTCTCCCCATACTCTCGTTTTGATATGTCTTAATCCTAAAGGTCACGCTCTCGAAGCTTGGCCTCTGCCAGTTTCTGCAAAGTTTGGCCTCTGGAGTACTTAATGAGGTAGTGGCAGGTAGAGTACTTAACGAGGTAGGGGCAAGTAGAGTACTTAACGAGGTAGAGGCAGGTACAGTACCTGAGGAGGTAGAGGCAGGTAGAATATTTGAGGAGGTAGTAACAGGTAGAGTACCTGAGGAGGTAGTAACTAACAGGTAGAGTAACTGAAAAGGTACTAACAGGTAGAGTACCTCAGGAGGTAGAGACAGATAGAGTACTTAACGAGGTAGAGGCAGGTAGAGTACCTGAAGATGTAGAGGCAAGTAGAGTACCTAATGATGTAGAGGCAGGTANCCTCCCGGGGGTGGGAGGTCTCGAAGCGTCTCGTGTAGAGCAGCACCACACGCGACAGGTTCAGGAAGAGCACATCAGACTCCTCCGTCTCGCGCGACACTGCTTGATTGATAATTATAATTTGTACTTAGTTATTTAACTTATTTAATATTGTAAAATGATAAAAATTAAACCTTAAGAAGTTCTAATTCTGTGTACACTACATTCAAAACGACACTTTCGGTGCACTGCAGCTATACATCACAGCACAAGTACTGCACTGCATCTACTGCTATACATCACAGAACATCTACTGCACTGCAGCTACTGCTATACATCACAGAGCAGGTAGAGTACCCGAAGAGGTAGAGGCAGGTAGAGTACCTGAAGAGGTAGAGGCAGGTAGAGTACCTGAGGAGGTAGAGGCAGGTAGAGTACCTGAGGAGGTAGTAACAGGTAGAGTACCTGAGGAGGTAGAAGTAGTGCAGGGCCTCCCGGGGGTGGGAGGTCTCGAAGCGTCTTGTGTAGAGCAGCACCACACGCGGCAGGTTCAGGAAGAGCACATCAGACTCCTCCGTCTCGCGCGACACTGCATAATTAACAATTATAATTAATACTTAGTTATTTAATTTAATTATAAAATTTTCGAAACATTAAACTCTAAGAAGTTCTAGTTCTGGGCAGTGATGTGATGTATAGCTACTGCTATACATCACAGCACATCTACTGCACTGCAACTACTGCTATACATCACAGCACATCTACTGCACTGCAACTACTGCTATACATCACTCTGCTATACATCACAGCACATCTACTGCACTGCGACTACTGCTATACATCACAGCACATCTACTGCACTGCAGCTACTGCTATACATCACAGCACATCTACTGCACTGCAGCTACTGCTATACATCACAGCACATCTACTGCAGCTACTGCTATACATCACAGCACATCTACTGCAGCTACTGCACCACATCACAGCACATCTACTGCACTACATGTGCAGCATCACAACACTGCGTATGGAGGCAGCAACTGACGCAGTGGAGCAGCAGTAGACGCGGGTAGACGCAGTAGACCGGCGGTGTAGCAACAGACGGCGACGTGCACTGCGTGGTGCAGGAGGCGGTCACTGCGACGTAGGAACTCCACGGCCGCCTCGAACTGCGCCGTCAGCAGCAGCACCTGCAGTAGTGGCGCAGTGGTTAGTGGTGATGGTCAATGGCGGTCAGTAGAAGTAATGGACAAGTATGGCTACCAGCCAGCAGTGGTTGAAGGGCAGCACTATTTCCAGAACGTCAAAATCATACGTCAAACATGATCAAAAATCGAATTAAGTGCAACATAAAATATTTCAAATATATATATTACAAACCAATATAACATCTTTCAAAGTAATATATCATATTTGAAAGTATAATAATATATTTTGAAGCATAATAATATATATAAAGCAATATATTAGATTTTGTACTATCCATCACTCACGTTGGTGTAGAGCAGAGGCTGCTCGTAGGCGTTGAAGTGAGTCTCCCCTGCACACAAACATACAAATGTGTTAACTATGGCCACACATAAAAAACTGTATAGACTATACAGCAAATAACTGTGGCACAGCTAAACAGTCGTACGGTTGGGAGGGTCCTTGTAAGAGTATGTGTAAAGGCCCGTTCACACTAGGGGCAACACACTGGCATCAATCGCCTCACCGCCCCTCTGTGCAGTGTCTACGTGCGCTTCTTGTGGGCAACGAAGCGATTGACGAGCTAGCTATTCACTGCTACGTGCAAAACAAGCGCCGCCGCCGCACTCAATGGACGGCTGTCTGTGGTGTAGTGAGGTTGTTTCTGTATGCTGGTCCTTCACTATGGCAGCTAACGCCACACTTGTTTGGACTCACTCTCTAGTGGAGAGGCTAATAGATGATCTTTGTAGGGACCATGAATGCCTGTAGAGAGTTCAGTCAAAGGAGTATAAAAGTCGAAATGCAAAAGAACAAGATCTTGTGAAAATAGTTGACATATAAGAAATTTTTGTGTGCAAGTTACCATTGCTGAGGTTCACAAGAAAATTCATACGTTTCATTCGCAATTCCATAGTAAAATTAATTTCATTGCAAATGAATTCCATCATCCTGCTTCTGGATGTGTGGCATTATTTAGCAGACTGTCAAACAAGTCCCCTGGCAGTCTAGTATAATTTTGAACGTCTGATGCATTTGCAACTGATAATTATTTGAAAATGTAATTGTGTGAGCCCCATCTCTTCTTTGCAACCATTTTTTCACCCAAATACGGCGACGCCTACATCTTTTCTCAACAGCAGCACATCCGAGAACAATGGCCCAGTGCTCAAATTCGGATACATCCATCCTCACTGACGTCTTATTAACTGGCATCTAATGTTCACAGCGCGCGGTCTCGAGCTACTGCGAACAAAAACAAGTGTGAACGGTTGTGGGAGGTGAGGCGCTGCCGCAAGCGCTTGACACGCGCCTCACCGCCCATATCGTTGCCCCTTGTGTAAATAGGTCTTTAGAGTACGCGTAGAAGCACGCGGGGATGTTGGTTTGTCTCGCAAAATAAATACGCTCATTCCAAATTTATTTGTAATCACATTGTATCCATATTTTTATAGTTTTAGGGTAATAGTTATCTTGTGTTATTTTAAAATAAAGGAAACTGATTTCTAGGATCCGTAGTAAACACTTGGTCTTGTTGTGTACGGAGTCACTGGCCTAAAGTAAGCTGTGGGACCGATTGTTCATAATAAGATTGGCTAGTCAAATTTCATGAATTATTAATGTTTATTTATCAGTTACCTACACATGTGAAGGCACGTGTAAGGATACGTGTGAGGGAACGTGTGAGGGCACGTGTGAGGGCACGTGTAAGGGCACGTGTAAGGATACGTGTGAGGGCACGTACAAGGGTACGTGTGAGGGCACGTGTAAGGGTACATGTGAGGGCACGTGTGAGGGCACATGTGAGGGCACGTGTAAGGGTACATGTGAGAGCACGTACAAGGATACATGTGAGGGCACGTGTAAGGGTACATGTGAGGGCACGTGTAAGGGTACAGGTGAGGGCACGTGTAAGGGTACAGATGAGGGCACGTGTAAGGATACATGTGAAGGCACGTGTAAGGATACGTGTGAGGGAACGTGTGAGGGCACATGTGAGGGCACGTGTAAGGATACATGTGAAGGCACGTGTAAGGATACGTGTAAGGGCACATGTAAGGGCACGTGTGAGGGCACGTGTAAGGATACGTGTGAGGGCACGTGTAAGGATACGTGTGAGGGCACATGTAAGGGCACGTGTGAGGGCACGTGTAAGGATATGTGTGAGGGCACATGTAAGGATACGTGTGAGGGCACATGTAAGGGCACGTGTGAGGGCACGTGTAAGGATACATATAAGGATATGTGTGCATGAGGGCACGTGACGTACCGTACTGCTTGTACATGAGTCGCTGCAGCGCTGCCAGCGTCAAGACGTCCTGCTTGGCCCCCCCGGCGCCCCCTACAGTGGGAGTGGGGGGCACCCGCTCCCCCTCACTGCTTGTCTCCACCTGCTCGACCGTAATACAATATTAGATACAATTTTTTATTACACTATTATAACCATATGATGAGAACAGCAACATTGATGTACAAATGTTATAAATCGAATAATATATAATATATATAAATACATAAATATTGGTGTAATTCGGCAGAGGCTTTTCTTTCATGCAAGTTTGATTAAAGACCAGAGCATGTTTTTTATTAAATAATTTTCTTATTCGTTTCTTCAACGAGTCGAACAAAATTTCTTGCTGGCGCCGGGAGATCAAAAAGCAGGTTACCAAATGACATTTTAATGGAATGCGGCGTTTCGAAAATACAATTTTCATTATATATAAATTTAAGAACGAATATAAAACAAAGAAGCAACAAAGCGACAATAACACGAGTGCTTGTTCTCACCCCTCAACAGTGTCACTAAGAATATTCAACGAAGGATAACAATTGAACACAGTATATCCAACAGAGGATAACAATAGGACATGGTATATTCAACAAAGGATAACAATAGCAAATAGTATATTCAACAATAGATAACAATAGGCCTATACCAGGTGAGGCAGACACCGGGTAGGCCGTGTGAGGGGAGGCCGTGTGAGGGGACGCGGTGAGGGCTGTGAGGCGGCAAGTCATGTGAGGCAGGTCCAACCCTCGCGACCCCAGCAAGATGGACCTGAGGGAAGAAAATGGGGTTGCGGTTGAGAGTATTTCATAGCGGGTTCACCAGAACCATTAATGAGAAGACTCTCAATTCATGAAAAACCATTAACTTAATTTCTGAAATAATGAGAATTGAGAATATTCATTACTTCATGAAAACCATTAATTTACTTTATGAAATATTAATAAAAGAATAATTAATTCACGGAAACCATTAATATAATTCATGAAAACATTAATTTATAAAATATTAATAAAAGAATCATTAATTCATGGAAACCATTAATATAATTCATGAAATATTAATGAGAAGAATCATTCCCTGAACTTCACGGGTTTCTGCATGAGGAAATCGATGGGCAGGTTTAACAGCCCACGCAATTCGACCGATAGTAAGAGTGTGGGAAGGGTTAGTAAACACTCAGAGCTATCAAAACTTATCATCCAAACGGCATCTAAATATCAAATAATTACTATCAATCGATCGATCTTCCATCGCAAATTTCACTTATCCTGGCCAAGGTCCGGAACGCAACAGCCGCGATAGCCGAGGCATTGTATTGTACTATATATTAGTAAACCCTACAGGGATAAACCCACGCCAAAATGCGCCTCGTNCAGCTGCACACATCGCTGCCACCACCTGCCACATCTCCACCACACCCTGCACCACACGCAACATCATCACCAGAGTGCACGGCATTTCTAAACATCACAACGTCATTATCTGACGCACTCAGAGAAAATCATGAGATTTTGTCCGAATAGCAAAGAAGTTTCGCCCATATGTGAGTCATCTTGTCTCTGTTTGGCCGGGAAAAAGAACGATCACTACTACACGCAGCAAGTGCATACCTATTCGGACAGCATTACCCATCAATTTTTCGAGGTGCAATATAGATAAGCATGGATGGAGTTATCTTCAAACCCACACGGTCATATATACAAGAATTCGAAACGTTCGGGAAAAATCCATAGATATTTAAATTAAAAAAACTGTCATACATTATAAAAATATCCAGAATGAACACGTTCTACTTATTTTTTGAATGAGCTCGTTACCACGTTATTTTTTTTAATGGGCACGTTATTATTACTATTATTAACACGTTCTTCCCAAGTCCCGCTCAATTATTCTAGGTTTTAATTCATTGTTTCATCTGATATTAAAATTATTGCTCTCGTCGTTATTGCAGCCGTCGGGGTTAACTCAAGCGACGATAGCCGAACAACGAACGCAACGGTCATTGGAACACCACTGTTCACCAACATGACACGCGAATTATCGTCCAAAATACAGTAATTTATCGTCAGAAGTACAGTAATTTATCGCCAGAAGTACACCCAATTATCGTTTAAAATACACCAAATTATCGTCAGCAATCAGCAAATTGACGTCAGAAATAAATAAAACTAAACTATCGTCAAAAATACCGCAAATCATCGTCAAAAATGCTGGAGATTATCGTCAGAAATACAGCAAATTACTGCAATAAAACATATAAAAAAAACTTTTAAAAACCACGTTTTCTTAACGGACAAAGAAGAAAAACATTTACTCCCAAATAACATTAAAGTTATGTAAAATGTTATGTAAAACATTATGTAATGTTATATAAGAGTAAATGTTTTTCTTTTTTGTCCGTTAAGAAACGTGATTTTAAAAATTTTTTTATTTGTTTTATTTCATTGTTTTTAGTTTTGTATAACCACCAGAAAAACGAGGTTTTTAAAAATGTTTTTATATTTATTTTCTACCTTTTATTTTAGCAATTTTAGCAATTGTAAAATTTAGCGACAAAAAAAGTCAATTCCCAACCGTGAGTTTTTGGAGTTTTTTTTATTAAAAAAAAACTTTTTAAACTATTTCTGATAATCAAATCTTGTATTGTTAGGCAGCATAAGCATGCATGCCAAAATTCAAGTTCCTAAGATCTTCAGAAGTGCTCTAAATTAAGGTTTAAATTTTTGATGACAGACAGAGACGAAGCGAAACTAAGAAAAACCGTGGTAAAAATACAAGGGCCCGCAGCGGCGACCTGGTCGTGGGCGTCGACGGTGACGGCGAGGTCGCACATGGCCTGAGCGAGCCCCGCCCCTCCTGACGAAGAGCTGCGCTCTCGGTCTCCAGTTCCTCGACCACATCTTAAACATTTCTGCATCCACAGCTTCTATTAATTAAGGCTATTTGGGTTTGGGAAGAACTCGATAATAATTGCTGTGAACGACAGGAAACTCGTTCCCTCGTCCCCTAAATGACTCGATATTTCTAATTATTCACTTTTATATTCACTTTTTATGCGTTATCTGCTGGATCATTTTATCGTTCACAAAAATGTACGAGACCGCACACGTCAAGTAGTCATGTCATACACACGATAGTTGAACCTGTGTGCTGCACGACTGCTGCTGGTCGTGAGCGGAGGTAGCGGCAGCAGCAGTTAGTGATTGCTCGCTGTCAACCTAAAGTTTAGGTTAGGAAGGGTTTAGGGTTAGGACGATTTAGGGCCTAAACCAGTGGTTCCAAACTTTTTCAGGCTGAGGGCTTAGGGTTAGGACGATTTAGGGCCTAAAGCCCCAAACGGTCTTGTGCAGAGAGTTGTCCGTACCAGAGCAATATGGTAGTATCCTAGTCTGCCAGTATCGACCGTGAAATTATGATGACCGATGTTACTGTGTGCAATACTTAGTGCAATATTAAGTGTCTTGTCGAGCTTAGCGATCATTATATAGTGAAGGTCATTTTAATTAAAGAAGTTTTCTTAAACTATTTTACCTGGAGCAAATACGATCTTAATGCAAGTGCTATCAAAAAACTAGGTATTTCAAATATTATCCCTGATTTTCGACCAAGGACACGAGAACCATTGAACAGGCACGTCTCAGAATTTGTCTAGAGAGTGTAAATAAGGCACAGGATTAATGAAATAGCTCAGCCGCCTTTAAATTTCATATTCGTCCTGATGCTTGAGCTGTAAATGCTCGATCTTACCTTTACCGAGAGCAGTGATGGATAAACTGTGTGAGTGTCGGCATTTCGTGAGCACTTATTATTTATTAATTTATTATTAACTGAGAACTGATATTGCCCAACTAAGAACTTGTATCAGGATCAACCAGGGATGCTGATGGTAGTTTCCCAGTAATGGGAAACTACCATCAGCAGGTGACAAGCAACAGCATCTTGCATCAGCGTGCCCAAATGAGGGCAAATAGACGGAACACGTCCAACGTTACATCCGACGACGACTCGGAGACGGAGGACGACGAAGGCGGCGCATCAGCGTGACCGTGGACTGCGACGTCCTAAACTCATCATAAGGTCATAAGG